GCCCACCGAGGTACGACGAAGAGATCGTCTGCGGTGACCACTGACCATGCTCTTCCAGGACGGCTGCCGCTTGATTTTGGACCGCGTCGCCGCTGACGGCTTCACCAAGGTTGTCTGGATCAACGTGCGCGAGGTAAGCCATGTCATCATACAGTCCCATGCAGACCAGGTCGGCGGCGTAGGAAGCCGTGCTCTTTGTCAAGGGCGTCCCGTACACGGCGCGTGTGCGTGCGAAGCTAAACGAGAACGACTTGGTGCCGGGTCTTACCGGGCACACGATCCAAGTGCTGGAGGCATCGCTCAAGAACAGCCTCATGGAGCAACTCGAATTGCGCAACCACGCGTTCGAGTACTGGCACGAGCCGACGCCGCTCGTGAACGAGCTTGCTGTCGAGACCATCGCCCCGACCGACGTACGCTCATTTCTGATGTGTATACCGCGTCTTATTCTGTCGTCGTAGGTGCACACGCTGCCCGAATTGATGGAGGCGCTGCAGCATCCAACGATCGAGAGCATCACGTTCCACCGCATTCCGATTGACCGTGAGAACTTTCCCGAGCAAGACGTCGTCGAGACCTTCGTCGACCTCGTCCAGCGCGCCGATATGCACACTGCGTTTGTCTTCAACTGCCAGGTATGGCTCGTGCACTCGATATCAAGCTAGCGGTGTGTCGCTAGATGGGACGCGGACGGACGACGACGGCCATGACGGTCGCGTACCTAAAGTGGAGTGTCATGCAGCCCGACTCGGTCGTTGAAGTTCCGGACGGACTGCCGATGACGCGCGCGCATCGGTCGCTCACGCTTGACCCGAACACGATTGATTACGCGCTCGGGACGTTCAAGGTCTGCCTTCCCGACACCTATCCCCATCGCTTCGAGTACTAGTAATTTGGTAGGTGATTTTGGCGCTCTGTGAGACGCTGGAGCAAGGCACGCACGCCAAAGCCTGGATTGACGCAGCGATCGACGACTGTGCGGCCGTCTACCACCTCCGACGCGTCATCGAAGAGTGTCGGCAGGTAGACATGCATGGGATAATCACACCTCGAAATAAATGGGACGCGAACGATGGCCATGTAGCGCTCCATGGCCGAAGCCAAGCCGGCCAAACGCTCCTTCTACTTGGTACACCCTCGTGTCAATGAGGAAATCTCATGGCATGATGATGTAGCACCGCGCCTGTCGCCTCCTCGAGCGCTACTTTTACTTTATCATGTTTGGCCAGTATCTGCTGGAGGCCCACGTGCAGAGTTTCTCGAGCTGGCTTCAGCTCCACCCTGATCTCTTCCGCCTTCTCGACGACCTCGGCGGTGCCACGTATCCGTCCAGCAAGGTGCTCCACAACAACATTCTCAAGTTTGACCACTTTCCCGGCCTCAGCCGCCTTCCTCTCGTCCTCGGCGCCAACGTGCCGAATTACCGCCAGCTCGGTGGCATGCCGCTCTTTGGCACGGCGCAGGTACCCCTCTCTCATCGAGTGTAGCGTGAGAATGACGCCAGTGGCTAGTGCCTCGAGCTCGGGATCGTCGACGTCTTGGCTCATCTCCGCGACGTCCTCGGCCACCGCCGCGTCATTTGGATCAATTTGCGTGAAGAGGTCGTCTTGTACGTGGCGGGCAAGCCGTACGCGGTCCGGAAGCGCGACGACGTCTTCCACAACGTCGAATATCCCGGCATCGAAGTGGACGAGATCACAGCGATTGAAGCGACGCTCAAGACGGAGCTCATCGCGAAAGTGCAGGCCTCGAACGGTTTGTTCATGCACCTCTGCGAGCCGCAGCCGCTCATCACCGCCGAGCGCTTTGATGCGATCCAGCCCGAGACCGACATCAAGACACTCGAGGAAGTGTACGCGGCGGCGAAACACCAAGGCTTCGACGTGCGCTACGCCCGCATCCCGGTCCCTTTCTGCTCGCACTGCCACGGCTGACAAAAAAGATTGCATTAGGTTTCGGACGAGATCGCGCCAGAAGAAAAAGACCTCGACGACCTTGTGCGGCTGCTGGTGCCCATATTTCGCGCCGAAAAGTCGGGTGCGGTCGATGGCCACACGGCGATTGTGTGCAACTGCCAGATGGGCCGCGGCCGAACGACGACAGCGCTGGTCTGCATGTACATGCTGCGGGCCGTCGTCATGGGGCAGGTGACGCTCGGCGACGGGCACAAGACGCGTTTTCATAACATTGACGCGCTCGTGTCGCTGCTCGAGAATGGCGCGACGAGCCTCGCGCTCGTGGACGAGGCCATTGACACTGCGGACCATGTGCAGAACCTCCGCGAGTGCATCGACCAGTGCCGGGAGATGACGAAAGAAGTCGGTCTGCCGAGCGCCAAGCAAGACTACTTTATGCAGCGCGCCAGTACGTTCTTTCTCATCGAAGCGGCTAAGGACTTTGTGGCTAGTGAACTACCTCGAGCGGTACTTTTACCTCATTTGCTTTGCCTCGTACGTCCTCGAGCAGCACGCGACCAACTTTGAGGTTCTCTTTGTCAACTGGATGCGCACGCGGTACGGCGGCGCGCTCTACGCGCTCCTCGACAACCTCTGCTTTGGGACCGAAGGCGACGACCACGTCTCGTCGTTGCGCTGGCGCTGGCGCCGAAAGCGCAAGCTCGTCAACCGCCTCGAGTAGACGCGCTTGTTTGCTAATCGTGCGGCGACTCTTTCCCGGCGTCGCCGAAGGACTCAATTGGAACGTACCAGCCATTAGTGGCAATTTCTTGCAAACGCGTGGCTCTCCGATGGTTGGTAGAAGATTACCTCAACCAAGGGCATCATCTTGCCTGTACCCACCCCGCCAACATGGCACGTGTTAGCAAGCTTACCATGGCGATTGGTGTCCAAAAGACTAGAGCATCCCGGTTGTCGTTGGAAGATCACGCATTCGTACAGATTGTTCCATGTGGCACCACCTGTCGGTGTGCTTCAAGACTGAGTTCCCGCGCCTCGTGGTATTTGGTCCACGTCAAGATACAACGTGCTTCACTGGTGTACAAGCATGGCATTGCGCCATCCACTCGACCGCGGTGTTGTCGCGACACAGGGGTTGTCTCGATTAGAGCCGAATGATTCGACGCGGGGAATCCCGCTGGAGCAACTGCAGCTCGACCCACGTGTGAGTATCTAGCTGCCACGCCTACGCTCTGACATGCAGTGTCAGTCCTTTCTTGTTTTCTGCACCGCTGAAAGAACCTCACTATTAAAGTCGATTGACAACACCGCGTAGATATGATGTTCAAAGCAGCATGGCTCGTCATCGCGTTGATAGAGAGTCTCGGGAGGCGGCCTCGATGCGGAACAATGCCATCTCTTCGCGCAACTTGGGCGCAATCTCCTTGCGCACCGCGTCTTGGTAGATGGAAAACAATGCGTCGTCTTCGATACCACTCGTCTCGATCGCAAACGCCATCGTGAGAAACTCGCGCATGGGCTGCCTACGTCCGGACAACTGGTACGGTGCATTGTAGAGCATTGCTCGTAGTCGGGATGTGTTTTGGCCTGTGCGCTCGAGGATGAACCTAGTAGCGGTCCATGTATACAGGGAGAGGAGCTTGACGGTGACGGGTACCAAAACAAACGGGGTCGAGACCGATTGCAATGCGGCAGCCGCTCGTCGTGCGAGTAGGTGCCCATGAGAAAGACAACGCGGTCCTCGGATGCAAACTCGCGGCACACACTGTACATTGACTCGTTCTCGTCGAACACGCAGCGTCGATAAAGCATGTGTTCCGGTGCGATAGCAGTGGTCATCTACACCAGCCGCAGGGTCGTGCGAGGCGGTAGGACGAAACCTCGTACCTCGTGATCGAGAAACTCGGAGAAGAAAGGTGCCATATCGCCGCGAAATTTCGACCACATGTGCGGGCGCAGCGCAGCATGGGCCTCGTGCAGCGGCAGCTCGTACTCGATTTGCAGGCGCGCGATAATGTCGCAAAAGCCGTCACCAACCTCCAGAAATATACTGTCGACGAACGTCCCAGCACTTGGTATTTGCGCACACGCCAGCATGCGCTCCGTGTTGTGGTACAGGTGCTGGCTGAACCAGTCCAGGCCCAGCTTGCGCGCTGTCGGGTCGGCCAAAAGTGACGTCTCGGTCCAGCCAAACGGCGTGCCCGGCATCGGCAGACTACGGTTGCACATGGTTGCGACCCAGGATGTCATGGTTTGGCTGAGCTCGCGCGCGCTGCGGCAGTCGGCGCGCAGCTGTTTGAGGAGTGCACGGGCGGCGGCGGCGCCGGGCGACGAGAGCGAGGCGAGCGG